CTGAGCGGAGGCTCGGCTGGACTCATGGAGCAAAGTGACAGGATGCCACCCCCAAGCTATGCACCCAGGTGCAGAGGCCCTCCTTCTTCCCTAGCTCAGCCCTCCATCCTCCCTCCAACCACTGGCTTTTCCACCCCTCCTTCTTGCATTGATAGACAAGCCAGCATTGTTTTTTGCCTGGGCCAGGCAGAAATTGGCCCCATCTTAGGGCCCAGCAGGGGAAGCGTACTGCCCTCTGCCTTCACTGGGGCTCTCGCCTACTGCCCAAGTTGCTCCTGTAGCTGTTTCTTGGTGTACTGTCAAACTGGCCATGCCCAGATGCCTCTGCGTGGGGTACGGATGGCCCTGACCTAACAGGTCAGGTAGGGTCTGGGAGCCCTTGTGCTGGGCCTGCAGTGCTTTTCCTATTTGAAGGCCTGTCTGCTGTTGGCCTCTCAGATTCTCGTGGAATTGTAGTATGGGGAGAATGGGAGCTTTATGCTATGGCAGCTGCTTTCTGAGGTCTAAGGGCATAGGAGCTGAATATGATTTGAGTGAAGGGGCTGGATTGTGTCAACTTCCTCAGCAGGGAAAAAATCCTTTCCTTCCTTTCTCACTCTTGGCTTTTCTTTCTCTGGACTTCTTTCTGTCTACTCCCTTCTTTCTCTCTTGCAGAGTCTTGCATCAGGCTTGGATCAGAAAGCACAGCCATAAATGGCAATGTGTTGCTCACTTCTGTGCTGGGTCTTGGAGTTTACTGCAAGGCACAATTGTCCTACCTTCCCTTCAGGGGGGGTGCTCCCTTCTCTCACCTCTCCCCAGGGTTAAAGATGCCTTAGGCCTTTCTGGCCTGTCTGGAGCACTTGGAGGGGCTGAGGTACCTGCTGTCCCCTCTGCTAAGGGGAGGGAATGGGAGGGGAGACTTGAAATGTAAAGAGCTCCAAGGGTTTGGGCAGCAAGAGATAGAGAGAGGTGAGGAAGTGGCTTTTGTGATCCAGCTACATGCTTAGGGACACCTGATGTTGTGACTTTGCAAATAGGAGAGCTGACTCTTTTCCAGCGGAGAGCTAGCCAGGCTCTTTGCTTCCGCAGTACCATCTGCTCTTGCTCCTCAGTTCCAAGGTCAAGACCTGAAGCAGTTAGCAGTGAGCACTTGCATGTATTCAAAGCACGATCCTGGTACGCGCTAGGTCAGCCTTGCAATGACTCTTGGAAGTCACAGGCTTCACTGCTTATCCTGGCTTTACAAGAAGGGGGATTGGGGCTGAAGGTGACCTGACTTGTCTGTTCATCTTGGGGGTCAATGCCCTTGCTGTGGTATCTCTGTTCTGTGCAATGGGGAAGTCCCTAGCAGGCTCCCAGGTGACCGAGCCAGGCACAGAACTGGAGCCCACAGGAGTGTCGGCTCCGTGCCCTTTCCTCCAAGCTGGGCTGTCTGCCCCCACTGCACACGGAGGCCAGAGTCTGCTATCCTCCTCCTCTTCCTTCCACTGTTGCCAGTGGGTGTGCAGGGTCTTATGTTTGCTGTGTTGTTAAGCACCAGCTGCTGGAGTCATGACACTGCATGAGGGTCTCGGACATTTTTGCTTGCATTGGTCTTTATAAAACCAACAAGACTCCCAAAGCAAGTCCCTAGCTAGTGGAAGGAAAGCAAACCCTCAGTCCCATGAAGTTTGGTCAGTCTTGTGATTTGGGAGTGGGGGCTGACTCCTGTCTTTAACATTCACTGCTGACGGTGCTGAGTTTTGAAGCATGCTGTGATTTTTCTGCAGCGGGCATAGGAAGGCTGCATCATCTAGACTGAGGTCACTCTGGGAGCCAGGACTCCGGGTTCTCATCCCATCTTAGCGGTGACGTCTCTGGCCTTGCTGAGTCGCTTCATTTCTCCATGCCCGTCTCCCCACGTATAATTAGAACTCCCTCCTCGCTGGCGCGGAGCGAGGCACGGCTGTCTCTTCCGCGTGCTCCGCGATCCTTGGGGAGCAGACGTTTTGGTGCGGTGTGCTATTGTTGCTTAGAGGCACAGGGAGAGGAATGGCAGCAAAATGGGTCAGGGATGGCAGGAGCAGGCAGGGACCCCTGAGGGAGCTGCAGACAGATCTGTGCCTCCCCGGGCTGGGCAGCTGCTGAGGCCCCTTGATTAAGCCTGTAGTGACGTATCTCTGTCTCTTGTGGCAGCTGGCTCAAACGGCCTCTGTTAACTGCATTCCAGGTGCTCCAAATAGTTTTGTGGCCTGCCTTTTGCTGGCAGGCAGTGCTGCTCGTTGCCCACTTCCCTGCCCGGAGGCTTTCTTGCTGGCTGCATCTGTGAGCAAAGGCTCAGCAAGGTCCAGGCAGGGGACGGGCCAGGCGAGCAAATGGATCTGGGCTGTCCTGACCAGAACACTTTGGTTCCTTCTTCCTCTGCAGGCTGTGCTGCCAGCTGAGCTCGGTCTCTGCTGCACCCAGGGGCCCGTTTCCTTCTCTTCGCTCACAGCATTAACCATTTGTCCTGCTCCTTCCAAGATGTTTTCTGTGGCTGCCTCTCAAATGGGAAGCACATGGAGTCCAGCTTTGTGCAGTGCCTGGAACAGCCAGGCTGGCTGGCTGGGCCTGCGGGGCTGGTATTGGTCCAGTTTTGGCAAACCCAAGGCCCTGGACCTGTTTGCCGTGGAAGTGACTGCTGAGCGCATGCCTTACTCTGGAACTGAGCTTCAGGCCCTCTATTTTATGCTCCAAAGAACTAATCCAGCTTCAAAATTTAATGAGTGTTTAAATGTATTGTTTTGGACTGAAGCATGGGTCTCAGTTCTGTGCTTGGCTTTGCCTCTCATTTAAGAGCTCAACGGCAAGAGAGGCACAAAGGGAACTGGAGCATAACAACCACTTTTATTAGTCTTGCAAACCTCAGGAGTCATGCTACCCTGCCCAAGTGCCATCTCCTGGCCTTGTGCCCCGTAACTAACCCTCTACAGGCAGGGAGCTGTGTTTGAACGGCACAGAGACCCTGTTTGACCTCCCTGTGCGTCAGTCATTCTCTCTTAAATGGGGTGCTCCCTTGTAGGGTGGCTGGGACTGCTCAGATCCACTTTCTTCTGAACCGAGAGATGGACACCACCCTGTTATCTTTGCCTTTTCCCCTCCCTTACCTCTAAGACCACATTAGAGTCTGCAGCTGGTAGCCTTTGCCTAGTATCACACAAATGTTGTAAAGTAAATTGGACGCAGCCCTCCTAGGCAGCAGCATAACCAGAGGGGTGTGAGTAAGGCACCAGCCCCAGCTTAGAGGAGGGGCAATGGTGGTGGTTGCTGCTCCTATCCAGGGTACAAAAGGTGCTTGTTACACCTCTGGGGCCATATCCAGTACATCTGCAGCCTCCCCTTGCTTAGATGCAGCATAGTTGAAGTCCAGGAAAGAATTTGGTTGTGCAGTGTTTGAGGGCAGGGTGAGCAGGGGAAGTAGGAATGAAACAAATGTCTCAGCATTTGCAAAGCTGGCAGGGGGCTGTGAAAGCAGGCTGGACCCAGCACTCTGGGCAGGGCAGCAGGTGGCCGTGAGGGTCATAACAACAGCTGTCCTGGAGAGGCTGGCCTGCCCACAAGCCCTGTGAGTGTTAATAGGATGAGAGGCTGTGCTTCTCCTCCTCCTCCATCCAGCTGGCTTCAGCACATTAGTGTCTCGGGGAAGGGCTTCTAACGCTCTGCCAGGAAATCCAGACAGGCCAAACATTATAATGGCAGAGGCTCCTCTGCCTCAGATACAGCTCCGGCTGCCTTCACAGGCCGACTAGCCAAGAATGGTGGAACCTCCATCATCATTTAGCCCCTTGCTTTGCTTGTCTCCAAACCCTGGCTGAGGTCAAGTGAGCTGAGATTTTTGGGTCTCAAATTGGTATTCCACACCGGGGAGTTTATCAGTGTCGCAGGCTGCCAGTCTGGGCCCTGGAGAGGCTGAGGGGTAGAGCAGCGGAGCAGGGAGGGTGGCATGGAAGGTATGAGGAATTACCGGTGCTGTACAAAGGCTGATCCTTCCTAGGTCTGGTTAGCACTCGTGCCCAAAGGCTCTCCCTGCAATGGACTCCAACGCAGAATCCTCTGTACCAAGAATAGAGCTCGTACAACCAAGTAGGTCGTTGTGTCGACAGCTGTCCAAATAGACCCAAGCCATTCTGGTAGGGGTAGGGATGCATCTCCAGACCTGTTTGGTGGGTTTGCCTTCCAACTAAGGCTATTTTGGGAAGTCAGTGAGAACACCGCGGATGCAGATGTGGGTGGGCCATGGCTTGATGACAGTTCTGCTGCTTGGGAACAATGGTGACTGTACCCAATGGAGAGAGCGGCTGTGCTCGTGCCCTGTATTGTTCCCAGCTGCAGAGGAACGAGGCTCACGTGGTCGGGTGGTTGAAGTGGGGAGGGCCCTGGCACCGAGATTGGGTGACTGAAGCTCGGATGTGGTTGGCACAAAAAGAAGCCAACTTGAGGAGAATGTGTCTGTGGGTTATAGAGTCACTGTGTATAAAATAAGTAAAGAACAATGGCTTGGCTCATGATTTAAGGCTTTTTTCCCTGCATGCATGAATTTCTGGGGGGGCACAGTGCCTTGGATAGTCACAGGGTTTAGGATTGTCTGATCTAGTAGCCGTTCCCAAGCACAACAAATCATCTGAGTTTAGCTTTGTTGCCCTCACAGGTACAGGAGGATGGATGGCCATTAAAACCTTAAGGCAACAGCATCATTTGGCATAAACCAGCATTGCTCTGATCACCCTGGAGCTACAGTGGATTACAGCCACTGAGGTGCTGGGTTAATATTTCCTGTGCTAATGTTCCCCCTGCTTAGAATGGGCACAGGCTTTGTATACAGATGGCAACGGACCAGCATAGTCGTTCTGGAATAGCTAGTCCAGCGTGGTTATCGGAGACATAGCGAGCTCTTTCGGTGCCCCGAGCAGCGTGGGGTGAGAGGGTGGGGAAAGGGGGCCGGAAGCACACCTGCTAGGATTTGTGCCCTGGGCAGCTACAGGCTCCAGCTGGTGTCCAGGATGCAGGGGGTAGAGCCAGGTGATCCCGAGGGTCCCGACAACTACTGGGAAGAAAGTGTCCCCCTAGGTAAGGAGTTACGCCTCTTTCTGGCCTTGCTGCAGGCACTTCTGAATGCCATGCTGGGTGAAGATCTAACACCTCAAATTTGGTGATGAAGGAGGGAGGAGCACCCCCCTGTCCTCACCCTCTGCTTTTTTTTCCTGAGCTCATAGCTAAAAGGACCCTAGAGTGTCCCTGCCTGGCTCTCTCCCACACCCAAGCTATAAAGCTGCTGGAGTAACAGCATCCATGCCAGCACCCCCAGACCTCTCCCCGTAATCAGCACTCGGGGCTTGTGCCCCCCTCTCTCACCTCTAGTTAAATTACAGAGTTACTCCCCATATGGAGGTGCTATTCCAATAAGAGTGCATTTATTTATTTCTTTGTTATTGTTTGCATTTGTTCTGGGGCTGTCCGTGGTGCAGGGGTCTCGGAGGGGGCTGGCTTACAGTCCTGCCAGATCATCTCTTTAAGGTGTGTTGAATGCTTGAAGTGGGAAGCATGGGTGAAGAGAAGGGCTGAAATGGGTTCATGTGAGCAGTCAGGATGAGACCCTGTGCTACTTAATAGGTCCGGGCATTTCATGGCTCAAGGGGATGGTTCTCCAAGGGGATGCTTCCCCACAGTTGTTGCTTTCTTGCGCAGTGCAGATAGGGGAGCTGCAGGGAAATGGCTGGTAGCTGCAAGCAGTAGCCTTTGTTCTCTCGCCACAAACTACCCCCCTCCAAAAATTGTCCATTCTGCTCACTGGCATTCGCAGCTCCTAGGTACCACTGGAGCTTCGATGGTAGTCTGGGGAATTGTTCCAGGAATCCCACCCCAGTGTCATTCTTGAGCAAAGCAATTGAGGGGATACTTCTTGGATGGCTGCTCAAGGCTGGGGGTCCCAAAACTATTCTACAGGGAAAAACAAATCAAGTCAGATTGCTAGGTGTTAATCACCCACGACTCCTATTAAAGGACTCAGCAGCTGTGACTTTTCAAGCATGAAAATTAGGGTATAGAACAATTCTGCATCAGCTGGACCAGATGATCCCAGTGGGCCGGGTCTGCTCAGCCTGCTTTGATCCCTTGAGAGGGCAGAAGTGCCCGGAGTACTGGTGCCCTGGCTTCTGTTCATGGAGAAGACACCTCTGCGCGGCGTTCCTGAGGGCTGAGCTGGGGCCTCCCTGAAACGCCTCTGACATTCTTTCCAAGGCCGTTCATCAGAGAAACAGCTCATGAGGTGTCCCACCCAGCTCCCCTCTTTCCCCCCTAATACGGGCTGGGAAAGAAATGAATGGAGACTCAAAGGGAGCTTCCATTTTTGGAAGCGTGGACCAAAATAGATGCAAGTGTATGTGTGGAGGGGGAAGATGTAGGGCGTGTGTCCTGTCACTGAGTCAGAGAGGCAAACAGAGCCCAACTGGCTGTGAATAATGCACATTCCCCACTGATGAGACGGCTAACCCAGTTCTGGGCTCTAGGTTACATACCAGATTCCTGGTGTTGTTATAAAACAATCCTTAAAAACCCAGTGCCCAGTTCTGCAAGGGGAAAGCTCTTATTTCTGGTCTGTCTCTTCTATCCACGTTCCTGGCTGCATTCATTTCACAGAGCCCTCACAGCCATCTTGCTCTTCTCTGTCTCTTCTCCAGCTTGACTCCTCAGCCCCTCTTTCTCATTAAACCCGCTTGGCAGCTTTTAATGGCTCTACGTGCGCACGTCCCATCCTCCTGCCCTTTGCACAGCCAGCAAACTATAGCAGCTTCAGAAGACCTGTCACTTTGAATCAAAGGTGGGAAGCCAGAGGAGTTGGGAGTGGAAGCAGGAGCTAGGAAAGCAAAGTTGGTTGATGCTGACAAACTGTTTCAGCCTGTTCTGTAGGACAGCTGAGACGTTGAGAGAAGAATGCCTTCCTGACGCGTGTTCCTGAATCTGGGTGCTCGATAGTGGGTGTGGATGGTGGGATGGGCTATCTCAGGAGACTTGCTTTTGGAAGTAGAAGGACAGTGACCCTCTCCCTTCCCCTCTTCCAATGGAGAATAACCTGGTCAGGGCATGGAGTGCGTCTCTGTCCCATATTCCACATTAGGGCCTATTCTCAGGGCTCTCTGAAGTGCTGAGATTTCAGAACTGACCCTACAGTGTACTTTAAGATTGGTGCACCTTGTTCCTTTGTGGCTTTTAACTGCTGATCTCAGCTCTGCCTTTGGAGCAGAGACTGTGGACTTGTTTCTTTCAGTGGCCTCCAAGGGAGCAAGGGTGAATCTTCTTCCTACAGTCCATTCCAGGCTTCCAGAGCCGTACTTTTGTACATTGATGGTTACTCTGCTGACCCCTGCACTGAAGGAGAAGTGATGGTGGAGAGTGGGTGATGGTGGAGAGAGGGTGATCGAGATTGAGTAGGCAAGGACATGGGACTGGGAGCAGAGAAAGAAAACAGGCAGGTGACTGGGATTAAAACCAGTGAGGTTGACAGGTCTAATGAGCAGTTATAGTAAGGGCATAGGCGGCAAAAGGCCAGGGCTAGTGGAGCTTAGCTCCCCCACCAAACTCTTTGCCGTGGCTGGCAACAGCAGCAGCGAGCACCACCATCCTGCAGTGCCCGGCTCCGCTCGGCATGCAGCTGCTCCTTCACCGCTGCATACAGCACTGGTGTGTGCTGGCCCCACCACGGCCCTGCGGGATGGGGGGGCAGGGGTCAGATGGGGCTCAGCCCCCACAAATTATATTTTTCCCCCACCGCTTATGAGAGAGGGGAGCGCTTGGACTGGCTGGGCAAAGACACTGGAACAGCGAGGTAGGGAAGGTGCGAGGACAGTGCCAACGTGCCCCATCTACAAAAAGTGGGTGATACCCTTCTTCTCTCAGGCTGTTTGCACAGATGCATTCATTAACGGTTGTGAAGCACTTAGATAGTGTAGTGCAGGGCACCATGGAAGAGTCCGTGAGGAGACTGTTAATCCTGCCTTCAGGGCAGTGTTTGACTAGAGGCAACTGTTTCGGCAGTGTGACATGATTAGTGTCAGCTCTTATACGCACTTTCCATCCCCGCATCTCGCAGCACTTTACAAAGGAGATCAGGGACACAGAGCCTCAGAGAGATGACAGGACTTGCCCAAGGTCACTCATGAGGTTGGTGGCAGAATCCCAAACTAAATCCAGGTCTCTTGAGTCCTGTTTCAGTACCCTGTCCACTAGGCAACACTGCCTCTGACTGATGTCCCAGTGAAGGCCTTGAGTAATTTATGTGGAGCTCGTACCTAAGAACTCTTCTTTTCTTTTCTCCAGGAAGACGATCAAGACTCAGAAAGCGAGAAACTGGTAGTGAAGGAGCCTGAACCTGATGATGGTGAGTGCTGGGAAAGAGCAGGGGTGGTCAGGCTGCTGATGTCCAGCTTTGGTTTGAATCCAAAGCTTCTGATTCCTGAGAGTGACTGGGGCGATGAGACCAGGATTGCTTGGGCGCCAAAAGTCAATATGGAGAGTAGTTGGGGTGGGGGAGGGTGCTCACACTGTAAAACCCATCTCCTCACAACCGCTAGAGATTAGGGAGCATGTCATGTTTCCTCCCCACCCAAAGCCAAACATCCTGCAGATATGTGCAGCGCACCAAAGGGGATGGAGCACGTTCTCTCTGTTCTGGGTCCTCTTGCTGCTGACTCCAGTGGCCATAATGTTACAGGGTGAATATGAGAGAGAGGAGATAAGATAGGGAGGACGGAGAACTTAGCCATGAAAGCACAGACCTGGAGAGTCCGACTCGGTGAAAATTAGGCTGAGGTTGCTTGCTGCCACTTTAAACTCCCGATCGTGGCAGCTGGCAGAGAGGGAGAGCTGCAGGAATGCTATGGCTTCCCATTCCTCTCCCCGCAGGGCCCTGCTCATTGTGTGTCAGGCAGAGGCTGGGGTGGGAGGATCTCTTCCAGCACAACGCTGGGCTCCTGGGGGACCAAAGCAAGGCTGTCACTTGCTATAAATACAGTCCCTGGTCAGGAAGGCCTGGGAGCTGTGGAGCCATCACCCTCTTGGGGGACAGCAGGGGGGAGGGCTAATCCCCACCTCCGAGCAGCTGATGCTGGCATTGGGCTGGCTTTCTCCTGATTGCCGGGCTGTTAATTTGTTCTGTTAGTCTGGGAGTCAGCGAGCACAAAAGCAATAGCATTGCTGAGATCTGCAGCGGGGAGGGAGGGAGCAGAGATGAGGATCAGGGTGAGCCAGGCGGCTGTTGGGTTCAGCCATGCAAAGGATGGAAATCTGGGTAGGTGCCAACTTGGGGAGCTGGGGATGGGCACAGCTGCCCCCACCCTGCTTTTAATTCTGTCAGTCTGCCTGTGGCAATCCAGGTTTCCCTGCTGCCTCCTGCATGCCTTCTCCATACCAGGCCTCCTAGGCACTTCAGCTTCACCCTGCAGCCCACTCCCCCTCTTCTAACAGACATACCACACTGTTTACAGCAGGGCAGGCTCTTGCCTCCGGCTTTCAGCCCAACACAAAGACAAAGCTGGCTGAAAAGCACTTGCTGGGCCCTGGGGGATCTCCAGGGGGTTTAGCTAGAGCCGTGTTTAACTGATTAGTCAATTACTTGATTACAAAATGATGAATTGACTAATTGGGATGACGAGAGAGGAGCCTCGCTTGCAATATAACTAACCAGATGGTGACAGACCAGTGTGTACATCTTGACAGGAGGCTATGCCCCCTCCAGCAGCATGAGAAACACCATTATGCCTTCCAGGAAAGCCTCCACCTTGAGGGGGTGGGGGAGGGAAGTGATGAAGGGGGTTGGGGGTGGCAGAAGGGAGATAGGCCTCTTTCCTCTGTCCCACTTCCTTGCTATCCTTTTGAGGCTTTGTCACAATCCTTCTGGCTCAGGAAGATTACAGTTAATACTTACGGGTAAACTTTCATCCTAGCAACGTGCTTGCAAGGAAGGGAAACGGGTTTTCCATTCCATCACAAGGCAAGCACGGAGGAAACAATCTAGCACTGAAAAAACTGGCCCACCTCACCCAGCGTCATGCAGCTGGATGGGTGACAGAGCTGGGAATCGAACCCAGGTGTCCTGACTTTCAGGGTGGGCATGTTTCAAAAAGCCAGGGTCCCTCTCCTCCAGCTGTAGACAGCACAATGAAATGCATTCGCATCTCGAGCACGTGAGGCTGTGTGAGGGAGGGAAGGGGAAATTTAGGCCAATATTACTGGGGAAAACCCCTGTCTCTGCAGAGCTTTCAGTACTGGGAGTCCTGATGTACCTCAGGAAAGTGTTGGGCTGTGCTAAGGATGCTGAGATTGGGATCAAGGAATCTGGGATGGACCAGCCCCATTGCTTATGCCCCCAAGCCCTCTTCTGCCTCCTAGTGAGGTTGAGTTATGAGCCTGTCTCTTGGCCATAACGGGGCACACTGGTAGACTGGCTGAGGTTTCTTGCTACAGATCCAAAGGCATGAATGTGAGCCTTGCTCTGAACTTATGCTAAAGGCTGACCCAGCTGTGAACTGGTGGCTAGTTGTTTGGGCTGTGCTGTCAAAGGTGGCTGGATGTGATGTCGGTATAATGGGCCACTAGGTTCAAGAGAGCCTTTGAGCTGTTGGCTATTGGTACTCCTGATTTAACCAGCTGCTGGGGTCAGCAGTGAATAGCATGAGGCTCTTCCTTTTGTCTCTTCTCACCCCTTTTGGAAAAATAACCTGCGCTTTCGAGCTGGATGTGCTGCGTCAGCCTTTGCAACACGACATACTCTGAATGGCTTCTCCTCCAGGCCCTCTGCTGGGCAGTGCCAAGGTCTGGCTGGGGGGGGGTGGCGGGGTGGCTTTTTTTGCTGGCATTGCTCTGTGTCTGGCCAGCATTACAGCAGTAGATCAAAGCTCGAGCCTTGTCCAAGCTATGAAAATATTATTCCTAAATTCTTTTCCTTGCTGCCTGCAAGAGCCTCAGGCAAACATTAACAGAATACTTGGGCTGGGATTTTCAGCCCTAAATCCCTTTGGCTCCCGTGAAAATCCCAGCCCTGGAGACTGATGAGAATGACTAAGGTGTTCGCCTCTCGGCTCTGTATTTCCCATCCCAGAGCTGGTTGGGTTTTGCTCCCAACAATGTTCCGATCACCCACGCAAGCATTCAGCCTGGTTTGTTCTGTGTGTTTCCAGTGATTTATACTTTCCCTGCAGAGCTGGCTGCAAGGTAAGCGTGTTTTATGAACAGATTCATTTTTTGTTTGCTTTTACATTTTTTGGCAAACTTGTTCTGAAACTCTTTGTTTGTGTGTTTTTTGTTTTTCAAGAGGAAAACCAAATACAAGCCAGAACCCAGACAGGTTTTCAATTTGCGCAACCTGAAAGATTTTGAAGTCCAGACTTTTGTTTTGGTTTTCCCTCCTCCCTTGGTAAAATGGGAAAAAAGGAAAAGAGGGATAATCCCATTCTGCCCTTTTTGAATTCCTTCAACAATATTGAAATAACTGCTGGTTTCTTCAATTTGTGTCCTGAACTGTGTCACTGGGTGCTATTAAGGCATTTCTGTGCAACATTACTGAAGTGGTAGCATTTCAAAGCAAGTGATCCCCTTATTTGGTGCTAGGCGGGGAGGCAGGTGATGTTGTGGGCCTTATCTTGAAGCCCTTGTTCTTGCCTAAATATTGCCCTAGACCTCCAGGCTGCTATTGATTCCCTTCACTTTTAAATAATTCAGGTATTTTAATGGGCTCAATAAAACAAGTGCTCAGGCTGGCCACTGGCTTGCATCTAGTAATAACCACAAGGTCTCGCTTTGTTAGCCAGCTAGCTTTTTATTCCTTTAATGCGTTTCCTGTCTTTCAACCCCATCAGAGCAGCAGCTGGCGTCTCAGAGTGATTATAATAAAATGGATCCTCCCTGCCCCTGTGAGGCAGAGAAGTGCTCCTAGCACCATTTCGAAAGGGTGCAGTGTGATTTAAAGGCCACGGCCCGTGCTCATAGCCAGGATTAGAGCCCTTGTCTCGTGCATGCCAGGCTGGTGGCCTAACCACACTCCCCCATTCTCCCTGCTTCCTTCCCAAGAATAATACGATATGCGAATCCCCAGGGAGTCAGCAGGTTCTTGGCTTGAGACCCAAGGTGCCTGGGAGGGCAAGCTGTCCGGGAGAGTTAACCTTGAATACAGATTCCTTTTGTTTACAAAATGATGGGTAGGGAGAAAATTATCCGGCAAACCCAGCATCTTGGCAACTTGCAGATACTGGGGGAGGGACACGCAAGGCAAATGCCTTTTAAAACAAATCTTTCCACTGCTTCGTGTAAGTAGGTCACTTCATACTCTTACATATTTTGCAGTGCACAGGAAGAATTACGCCTAGAATTTCTAATGCATTTTCTGGAGTCTGTTTCCAGTCTGCAGAGAGAGCCCCTGAGATCTGCAGACTTGTTGCACTTCCCTGCAAAGCCCCAGCGCTGTCTCTGTTTAACAGCTGTATGTGGGCCGGCAGATCTGACGTCTGTTTATTCTTTCAGATAGGCTGGTATTTGAGCTGCGCTTTGGGGAGGGAAAAATACAACCCCCACTTCTTTTTAATCAAGAAAAGCTTTTAAGGATTAAGACTGCCTTCCTTGTCACATACGTTAGTGTAACTTCACTGATTTTAGTGAAACCACTCTGAATTTGCACCACAGTACGGAAAGGGCAAGTTGGGGCCCCGTTTTGTGAACATCTTCCAGAGCAATGACCAGCAGAAG